AAAAAATTTAGGGACGGATAATTTTTTATGAATGAAATGTAAAATAATATTTCCACTAAACTAATTATAATAAATACGGTTATTTTAACAACCTTCAGTTGTTTTGATTGGTAAATATCAGTACAATATTTTTTTAGTACTACAGTTGAATGAAATAAAATATCAAGTTAATTTCTCTTTAATTATGTTCTTATAATAAGAAAATTTGCCATTGAAAGTTTGCACATTAATAATTTTCTAAGAAATATACCGGATGATTATTCTTTTTCCACAGTGAAAGATTTAAATTTGAAACTTTAATAAATTCCTTGAAACTATCATATTCTTTATTCATTTGTTATTTTTGTTTAAATTGAGTTATTTTGTGGATATTCTTAATGCGTATGCTGAGTTCACCAGAGACCGATTCCATCTTCAAGCTCTTAATTTTATTTTTTAATTCTTAATTTTCTTATTTTTCCTTTTGAATTTTTGAATAGTCTATCAATTTTATAGAAAAATTTGTCGAAAAATTAATAGAAATACACTGTTTTTAGTAATTGCTAGCATACATCTCTAGAGTGGAAAGAACTTCTGTGATGTTTCAAAATCGGTAACATTTGTTGATTTTTGCTTTGATTTGTCTGTAGTTTTATTCATACTTTCTTTGATTTGGAAATACTTATTAGAAAAAATCTTATAAAGCATATACATGCACAAAACGTAATACGTATAATTATGAGTTTTATTATATGACATGTTGATTATCAAATAAACGAATATTTTATGCAAGACCTAATCTTCGTATTTATTAAAGTTAAACTTTGGTCTTTTATGTTGGGAATTCTAGAAAAATAGTTAATTTTAAAATATTGAATATGAATAAGCATTATTAAGTAAATTTTTAGTATGTCAATAAAATGTGAAATGACAGAGCTTGCAAATTTTAAAGTTAGTATTCTCTTGAAGTTTTCCAAATTTGCAAGAAATAAAAAGTTTACACAAAACTTTACCTTAAAGTTTTAGGGTAAATTAATTATATATGCGTATTCTAAGTGCACACGAACCGAAAGTATAGAACATTCTCCAAGTTAAATAATATAAATTATATGCAAAAGTGCCAATTATCTTGAATACGTAGAATAACAGTTAACGAAATATAAATCACGACTTTAACTCGATATACATGTATAAGTACTAACTATCGCTATGTCCATATCGAGAATACGCGTTTTGGGTCTGAGTTGTTAAATCTTTATTACTTGGCTTATGCAAACATCGAATTGAATTTGATTCGTTATTCGATCTTTGATTGAAGTTAATGATACTATTTTCATAATAACGAAACCTGAAACCTTCTGACCAATCAAAATAATAACTTAAATCACATGATGATTAATGAAACCTGTGACGAAACCTTCTGACCAATCAAATAATAGCTTAAGCACATGTAGAAATTCTATTCCAAATTTTAAAAGAATGCAAGTCATTAGAAATCTAGTACATGTGTTTGATTGGCTGAAGGCCATGGACGATCAAAAATTATGCTGAATTTTGGCCAGCATTATGAAAAGTGTATAATTTTAAATATATATATCTTTGATAAAAATTATGCGAAAAATAAACCGATAAATTGATAAAACTTAACTTGACCTATTGTTTTTATGGTTTAGTTTGCCAAAATTGTCATTCGTCAGACGATTCGTCATTCACCACCTACCTTTCCAAAGTGGCTATGGCGAAAGGTTTCGTACGGGTCTACCACGACATCCCGAAATTCAAAATCCCGACAGTCCATAATCCCGACATTCAAGATCCAGAATGGTTTACAATAGATAACTATGTAATATTCACACCTTATGTTTAGTATATTATGTCAAGAAAATCACGGAGTCTGGAGCTCAGGAAATTGCGGAATGTACAAATTACAATATTAGCGAGTTTTTCACTAGTAACTCTGATCACATGAATATAAAAGAACCAGCGTTGTTGCACTGGTTCGATAGTTTGCTTTACGATAACGATAATAATTTAATAAACTAACACTACGTAGTCAGTTGCATTGCTACTAAGTTGATCAAAATAAAGGGATCAATCTAATTGTAACAACTTCAATATTAACCAGAATCTTAACCCTAACCCTAACTCAGATCCTAATTAGCCAATCAAAATGTAGTTGTTTCAAATAACAGTTACAAATACATTTATTCAAGATAAAAAATAATTTGTTTTATTTGCATTGCTTGCATTCTCTCGATTATTTGACGCATAAATCTTTTTATGCTTTTTTTATCATAAACCTTTTGGTTCTTTTTTTTATCATAAACCTCCTATTGCTAAAATGAACGAGATTTGTGAAGTTATAACCATAAAAAACGGTCGGGATCTTATTACGAACTGTCGGAATTTTGGGTGTCGGGATGTTGGGGGATCCCGTTTCGTACATATATCAGTACATGTGCATGTACGTATTACATGTATTAATACTTAAAATGGAAATCATGTTAACTTTATGCATTAGTCCTCCTTTTCCAACCAGTGTTATTTTATTAGGTAAGGTAATATCTGGTTATTTGGTAAGATAATGAACTGGTAATATTAGTAAATATTACCAGTATTATCAATATTGCATTAGTCATTACCTATTTAGTAATAGTATTACCTTACTGATTTTCTCATTTACCAGATTGCATATGTATTTATCAAATACATAACAAAACAAATACATTGTTTTTGATAAAATAGATTACTTATAAAATTTACACAAATATATTAATATTAAGATCAATATTAGTATTCTAAATTTTGGATTCAAACTATTTTATACAATTAAGTTTAATACAAAACTATATTTTTGACTATATAAAAAATTATTTTTTTACAAATTTACTTAGTAACAAAATAGAAATCAAAAATATTAATTCTTTATAATCTTTATTTAAAATATCAAATCAAATAAATATTTTTAATACTTTAAACAAAATTCTAGTTAATACTATCTAATTTTAAAACAAATTTAATTTTTGTTTATGTAGAATATTATCCAATTCTTTTGATTTTAATTCTACTTTCTCTTTTTTGAGTGCTAATTTATCTTTTCTAATAGTCAATTCATGTTTTTAAAAATTAAATTCTTGCTGTTTGCTATTTGTTTCATAATTCTTACTATAAATTTTTTTCTTAACACCATCTTTAATTATTATTTTATGAGCTATTAAATAGAAATATAATATTAAATTAATATATATGATGTTATTAATAAAAAATCATAACTTATATAATTATTTTATAGCAAGTTGAGCTCTTGCAATTGGATCATTATTTTTGTTTTTATAATCAATATCAAATTGATTATGAATTTGAATAGTCTTAAAAGATCTTTTATCAAAATACCAATCTCTATAAATATAAATTAATTATATATATTATTAAATATTAAAATTAATTATTTTAATTATTTACCTAATAATAGTTATTATCAATACTAAGAATTTTTCTTCACAATTAATACTTGCATGAGCTGACTCAGTAATATTTGTATTTCAATTTGTAACTTGCCAATATTTTTCAGGAATCTTGAAACAATGTCAATTTAATAATGCAATAATATATTTTTATTTATAAAATTATAACCAAGCTAAATATAAATATAATTAAAATTAATAAATATTGTAAATATAGTCAAATATCTCTATAGTCACATCTGTTTATAGTCACATCTCTCTATAGTCATCCTATTTTACTTTCCTATTTATATATAAACATAGTAAAAAAAAATCCCTCTATAGTCACATTCTCTCTATAGTTACCAAATTTTTTTTCCTGAGGGTGGTAATTATAGAAAGGTTTGACTATATATAATTATTAAATTATAATATAAATTATTTACTTTTAGTATTAGATTTATCAATTTGTACAAAGATTTCATCAATTTCTTTTTTTGAGTTTGCATTAGGATATAAGTTATTTAACAATATTAGAAAATGATTTGTTTTAGATATTTCTATAATAAAAAGTAACTTGTTTATTATTTATTATAAAATATATATATATGATACAGGAATTCTTAAATTAATAATATATTTTAATTTTAAAATATTAATATAAAGACAAAATTTTCAAAATCTAATCAGTAATTTTGTAGAACTTAAAGTTACTAATCAGATTTTGAAAATTTTGTCTCTATGTTGAGTTGTAATATTTTAAAATTGAAATATATTATCGATTTAAGAGTTTTTGTATTATATTTAAAATAAAAATACTTACCAATTATAATAAATAATATATAATTTGAATATATATGTCAAGTAATTATTCCATTTATATGATGAGTTAATTTTTGCTAATGTCAATTCAAGATCTTTTGCTTGAGCAGAATCCAAATTATCCAAAATACAATTTCAATCTTTTTTGTATATATGATAAATATAAGGACTTTTACCAGTAATATATTTAATTGTTTCAAAAATAGAATAAAATATTTATAAATAAGTATCTGCTGATTGATATTTTAATAACTACTATTGAATAATATTGTTTGATAATGAATTTGATTTTGCTGTAAATCATCCTATAAATAAAATTGTAAATAATATATATATTGTTTAAAGCAAATAAATATTATAATTTTACCTGATTCATTCCATATAAAAGATTTTGTAATCCTATAAATAAAATTGTAAATAATATATATATTGTTTAAAGCAAATAAATATTATAATTTTACCTGATTCATTTCATATAAAAGATTTTGTAATATTTTAATATTAATATCATCACTTATTTTGATTTCGCTCTCCAAGCAACCAATTAGAACATTCTAAAAAATAAGATAATACTAAATCTTGAGTTGTTATATTATTTCAAATTCGTCTAACTACAGGTTTTCCATTACAATTATAATGTGAACCATGTGAATCATTTGCAGCTAAATACAAGTTAATAAATAAGACAAATATATTAGAATTAAAATTATATTAATATAAATTTAAAAATAAATATATATGCAAGAGCTTTTTGTTTTACAAATCCTTTAATATTTCATTTTGTATCTGCTTAAATTGATTTGAATCTGTATCTACCATTGTATGTATCATGTTTTTCAGACTGGAATGACAAAACTCACATATCTTGACTTCTTGACATTTTTTGTGTGTTATCTTGACCTTGATTCCATCAAAAAATGGACTTTTTGCTGAAGATATACCACTTGGTTCACCAAGCGAATATTGGATCTTTAAACTAAAAAATCAAGTAGTTAATAAAAACTGAAAAATAAAATCATAAAAAAATACTTACATTCTTAAAAACTGCATCAGGATGTGACCACCCATCTACATTAAATACAACAGCATAACCATCTGGGGCAGTTGGAGGATATTCAATTGGCATGGGGGAGTACATTATCTTTGTTATGCGTATATTATGTGTAAAAAATGCAGTGGCTGATTCATCATCTTCATAATTATCCTTGTTTTTTTCTTTATAATTCTTTTCAATCAATAGATTTTAAATAAATATTTTGTATTAAAGTTCATTTATTAGAATTAAACATCTAATTATTACCTCA